GAAAGATGTGTCAAATATGTACTTTGTCCAGAGATGCTGTAGTGAAATTCATTTCACGGTGGGGACAGTACCAGGAAATAATTCCATGCAGAACGGCAGGGAGCAGGCAGCTGTTCCAGTACGTTTTTACCAAAGAATAATATGAACCATGAGAGCAGATGAAGGTTTTTCACACCCCAAATCAGCTAATGCTATTGTTTAAAACTGCTTTTCAAAAATAATTTTTTCATGCCTGTAAAAAGCTTTAAAATAGTATTTACACAAATCCAAAGCAATTGACTTAGTGTGCCTTTTCTCATTCTTTTGGAAAATTATTTAAATAAATTGGGGTAAGATTTATGATTTTGCTCACAATTATGATTTGGAAAAGTGCCTGCTTTGCTTAAATGATGGCTTTAATAAGATGACTTATTAAATTCCTACTAATAATCTGCAGAAAAAGAAACCACTTTTCATTTTGTTTTTGCTTGGCTTCCAGAAAAGTCCCACTTTTAATGAAACAAAAGAATTCAAATGCATTACTTTGCAAATTACAATTTACAAGCACTCTGTGACGAATGAAGATTGTTTCTTTTCATTCCACACATTCTCAGAGTTCCTTTGCAGATAATGCTATTTGTACACCATAAGTGGCCAGCATCTCTCTACAAAAAGGGAAAAAGGAAAACTGCATTGGGGAAAAACATCTGTAGCAATGGGATATCATCATGGTCCTCTGAATCATGGATTTTAGATAAAGAAATGGCAGAGAAGTGTTTTATATTTGGAGCTAAGTTTTCTCATTACATACATTCTCCTGAATGCAATGTTCCCATTGATTTCAACTGGGGGTAAAAGCCAGATATTCAAAAGGTGAGCGTAGACCAAGAAAACTTGCAACATATGATAGTGATTTGGAATCTCTCCAATGAGACTGCTTTGCTCCAGTATAGTTTGAAAGTCTCCAAAGCTTACTGGTTTAGAGCTCAGGGATCTTAGGTAATCTCTTCCAGGCTAAAACGGAACATGCAGTTGTCTGTTCTCTGTAATGCTCTGCCTGTGCAGATGCAGCTGCATTGTGCATTTTGGACCCAATCCACTATGCTCATTAGCTTTATTTAAAAATACATCTATTGCCTGAAGACACCTGGGTACATCCACAGAAAGTAAATAATTGCAAGAATTGAATGAAATTAAGCACGCCAGATCAGAGATGGTTTTGTGCAAGGAGAAGGCACAGCTGGTGCCCTTTTAGGTGAAATGAGACTAATTAGATAAGCTAGAAACCAATTAGATGGAAGTAGGTAAAAGAAGTTACTGTTTAGATAAAAGAGATGTGGTTCTCCAGCTTTGTGTAAGTAAAATGTGACATAAAAAACTGGAATTCCGCTTGATATAAATCTTAGGATTTATTTTCCTTGTAATGGTTTAGATGTTAGAGCAAAGATGCTCACCTTGGAGTTAGAGAGAGACTGGATTTTCAGGTACAGGACAGCACATGCATGGGTCTAGCAGTCTCCTCAGTGAAAGCCGCAGAATGAAGTTTTTGGTTACGTCACTTCCAGTTAAACATTCTTTGAAAAGAAAATGGATTTTCTACCTAATTCTATTGAGCAAATTATGTGGCTATATGGTCAACTCAACTGAAAGCCTTAATTATGCTGCTAGTAACGGAGTCATGTGCAGAGGTAAATGTCCTTTGCATATTTATTTAGCACATTATGAAGGCCCACACTGGGAATAAATCTTCTGAGAGTGTCATTGTATTAGCACAAAACTACTCTGATCTAGTCTGATCTATAAGATGGCTGGTCAGACTAGGGACACCAGCTGTCACCTGTAATAGATGAAATTAATAGGCCCTTTGGGTGGAGGGTGGGAAATTTACCACATGGCCTCATTTCTAGAGTCCTCTAATCAGCAAGCCTCAAGAGCTCTGAGCCAAGATAAGATGTTATTTGCTTTTCATGGCATCTAACATTCGATGCAATAACTGCAAAGAGACCACAGGTCCACCAGATGGTCATGGTGTCTCCATTGTATTTCCAAAAGTCTGTTCCAGTGCCTGGTACTGGTTGATCATCAGTAAATGTGCAAATATTATGGCACCAGCAGGGACATAATAAGGCCCTACCTAAATAACAGCAGGCTCTTCCCGTGGTTATTTCCAGTCTCTGCGGACAGGAGCAGTCATCTTGGGAAGTTTCCTGGGTGGAAGGGAGCTGCTGCAGGACCAGTATGAGAAGGGGAAGGAACCATACCCTCAGTTTGCTCGGACCACTGAGAATGATCTGCCTGTTCCACTGCAGGAGGACAGGATTTCGCACTCAGGGCAAAGCAAATCAGATGAAGGAACCTCATGGGGCTCCCTCTCTGAGTCCAAAGGGATGTGTTCCTCTCCTAGAGACAACCAAAGGAGGGCTGACCTGCAGAGTGCAGCCTTGGAGAGCCTGCCACATCGCCTCACCTCATTGTTTCATCTTTTTTCTTCCTGTGGGTTCTTCATCATGGTTGCCATTCATCAGTCTCCCGACTCTGTTACCCACATAGTTGGCCTCCCATCCTGATATGGTTGCTCTTGAAGCACGAGGTGAGGTTCCCCCCAGCTTCTGACTTGAGAGAGGATGATATGGAGTCAACTGTACCCTACTGGGTGGTGGTTTAAAGCAGCCTGCCCTGAACAAGGAAACTCAGCTGAGAAGATAAATAGACCCTACTCACTTGTTGATAATGTCATTCCCACTTACTCACCTATCCCACCCCTACACTCCAAATGCCCCAGGCTTTACGACCAGGCTGAGTCATGGGGCAGGGCCCCAAAGGAGAGTCAGAGGCCATCGCAGGTCAGCTCTGGCAACCTGATCAAACTTCAGGGCCCAGGTTCTGAATGTCCTGCTATCTCTCTCTGGAACTGCCCTTGGATCCTCACCCTGGTGATAGTGTCCTTGAGGAAGGGAGGATGCTGGCCCTGGAGATCTCTGGTGGACCCCAGCAAATACCTTCCGGGGCTGGCACGCAGGAGGCAGTTGGCACTTTTTAAATCTGTTCGATCGATCTCTTTCCTGCTTCCAGATGTGGTTCTCAGGTGTGTGTGTGCGTGTTTTGGGAGCAGAATATTTTTTTTAAAAACTGTGGTAAAATATACATAACATTTACCGTTTTAACAATTTGTAAGTACACAATTCAGTGGTGTAGTATTAAGTTCGTTCACATGGTTTTGCAACCATCAACATCTATTTCCAGAACTTTTCATCTTCCCAAATGAAACTCTGTCCCCATTAAAACACGAATCCCCCAGCCTCCAGCCCCTGGCAAGCCCCAGTCTACAGTCCGCCTATGAATTTGACTTCTCTTGGGGCCTCATGTAAGTGGAATCATCCTTTTCTGTGTGCTTTATTTCAGACAGTATAATGTTTTCAGTGTTATCTGTGTAAAGCATGTATCAGAATTTTGTTCCTTTTTAAGGGTAAATAATGTTCTAGTGCATGTATATGTACCACATTGTGTTTATCCATTCATCTGTCCGTAGACACTTGGGTTACTTCTACCTTTTGGCTATTGTGAATAATGCTGCTGTGAACATTGCTGTACATATTTGTTTGCATTCCTGCTTTCAACTCTTTTTGGGCATACATTCGGAAGTTGGACTGCTGGATCATAAGGTAATTCTAGGTTTAATTTTTGAGGAAAGGCCATACTGTTTTCCATAGCAGCTGCACCACTTATTATTTTTTGTTTTGTTTTTTTGAGATGGAGTCTCACCCTGTTGCCCAGGCTGGAGTACTGCAGTGAAATCTTGGCTCATGGCAACCGCTGCCTCCCAGGTTCAAGTGATTCTCCTGCCTTAGCCTCCCCAATAGCTAGGATTACAGGCACCTGCCACCACCACACCCAGCTACTTTTTGTATTTTTAGTATAGACTGGGTTTCACCTTGTCGGCCAGTCTGGTTTCAAACTCATGACCTTAGGTGTTCTGCCCACCTCGGCCTCCCAAAGTGCTGGGATTACAGGTGTGAGCCACCACACCCAGCCAGCCTCACCACTTTAAATTTCCACGTGCAATGAACAAAGGTTTCAATTTCTCTACATCCTCACTAACACTTGTTCGTTTCTGGGTTTTAAATAATAGCCATCCTCTTGGGTATGGTTTTGATTTGCATTTCCTAATGACTAATGACGTTGAGCATCTTTTCATGTGCTTTGTAGCCATTTATGTATCTTCTTTGGAGAAATGTCTATTCAAGTCCTTTGCTCATTTTTAAACTGGGCGGTTTGGTTTCTGTTATTGTTAAGTCGGCAAATGTGTTTTTGATATAGACTGAGAAATCTTTACCCGGGAAACTCTGAAGCAGTTAGCAGCCACGATAACGGCTGCATGACTGAGCTCTGACCTACGCCTCAGCGTCGCAAGCGAACGCCAATTAATACTCAACAACCACACAGTTCCCCAGAAAGGAAGTGAGTTTGGAGAGGGCCAGCACCATGTCACACAGCAATCACACTGACATAAATGGCTCTTGACGCAGGGCCTGGCTTCAGACTCGGGGACTCACGTTGAGGTGGCCCTGCTCACCCTGCTCACCTGGGGCGGCACACTGGAGTCACCAGGGCCAGCCTCCTAGATGTCCCGATGCACCCGCCTGCCAGAAATTATGAGCTCTGAGATTTTTCAGAACTCCTAGGTCCAGTAGTTTTTGGCAACCGCGGGCACATTAGCGTCACCCCGGGGAGCCTGAAAAAGGAAAAAGCCGGTTTGCCCCAGCTGCCCCCGCTCAGACCAGTTCATTAGAACCTCTTTTGGGGGCGGGGGTTGCGGGGGGAGCAGCAGTTGGGCATTAATATTTTTGAAAACTGCAACGCTCAAACAAGTCAAGGACCCTCACGAACTCAGCACCGCGACCAGATTGGAAAAGGTGTCAGTTGGCGTTTGTTGTTCGCGTCCTTGTTTGATTGATTGGTATGGAGGAGGGACGGGCGCCGAGTGCGGGCGGGAGGCGGCTCCAGTCTACACCGCAGGGAGCAGGGCGGGGTCCGCGCATCCTCGGCGGGGCGTGGGGGTTGGGGGGCTGTGGGTTGCCGGGCTCCCCGCGCGCCCTCCGTGCCCACGGGCTCGGGCCTGGAGGACTGGGCTCCCGCCCCACGCCCCGCGCGCCCCTTTCTAAAGTAAACACCTGGGAGAGGCGGTGGCCGGACCGGTGCAACCCAGCGCCGCCCACGGCCGCCGTTCGCTGCCTGCCTAGGTGCTGCAGACCCCGGGCGAGCCATGGCCGAGGTGGTGTCTGCCTCGCCGTCGAGCGGCGGTGGCAGCCGAGGCCCGCACAGCTGCATCATCCAGTGGTGAGCCGCCGGCGCCCGGGACGTTCGGAGAGAGGACCTGGGGCCGGGGAGGGGAAGGGCCGTTCCCGCCGCGGCTTCCTCGGGACGCCGGGTGCAAGCCGGGTGCGAGGATGGGCCCCAGGCCCAGCGCCTTCTGATGTCCGCCCCCCGGCGCGGAGGTACCTCCCATGCATGCACACCCACAAAAGCCCCGGGTCCGAGTCGGCCGTGCTACCCATCTGTGGGCTCCCCGTTGTCACCCTACCCGCGGGAAGCCGTCCTGTCCGCCCTACGGGGGGGCCTGTTGATTGGACCCTGCTTTCTTTTACAACCAAAAGCGCCTGGACATTGGCCGGGGAGGAAAAGCTTTCTCTCTTTAGATCCAGAAAGGGATTTTTCCTAATTTAACGCCAAGGAGTTTTTAGTTTTAGCAATGCATTCCACATTGTTTGTGAAATTAACTTCTAGCTATTTAAATCGAAGGAGGAAAGAAAGGGAAAGAAAAATACCCTTACCCCTTGGGACTGAGTAACTCATGGGGTTGCAGATCTTCTTAAATAGGAAAATTGAAACCAGTTCTAGGACCTTTAGTTTTACAAGGTGAATAACTGTTATATAACAGACTACATTTTTCTGTTTTTAAGTTTCAAAGCATATTTCTCAGGAAAGACTTTTGAAAAAATCATGTGAATAAAACAAAAATGAAGAGTGTGTTTGTGATTATAACTTCGGCAGACCTACAGTTACCATTTTCCTCCAAAAGAACATTTTTGATATGTCATCACTGAGAGAAAAAAATATCAAACGAATAAAGATTGAAGCACCCAGCGTTTTTCAGTGTTACACAGCCGGGCTGGATTTCTGCTATGCTCACTGACTCAGGACCCTCACGCATTGTTCCTCTTCGAAGAAAGGACTCAGGATGCCTTTCAATGACTTCAGGTCACCATTTAGTAAATTAGAGTTTCCAGGATTTGACTTATGCTCCAGAGATTTGAAAGAATGATGAGACTGATTTAAAAATACCTGAACTCACGCCTGTAATCTCAGCACTTTGGGAGGCTGAGGCAGGCGGATCCTTTGAGGTCAAGAGTTCGAGACCAGCCTAACCAACATGGTAAAACCCCGTCTCTAGTAAAAATACAAAAATTAGCCGGGCATAGTGGTGTGCGTCTGTAATCCCAGCTATACAGGAGGCTGAGGCAGGAGAATCGCTTGAACCCAGGAGGCAGAGGTTGCAGTAAACTGGGATTATGCCGCTGCACTCCAGTCTGGCGACAGAGCGAGCCTCCATCTTAAAAAGAAAAATACCTGAGCATCCTCCTAAAACCATTTGTGAACTCACTTCAGATGGTAACCAAGGGGCCCTATTATTATGATGCTCTAGACCAAGCTTGTCCAACCTGCAGCCTAAGGGCTGCATGAGGCCCAGGATAGCTTTGCATGAGGCCCAACGCAAATTTATAAACCTTTTTTTTTTTTTGGTGATGGAGTTCTGCTCTGTTGCCCAGTCTGAACTGCAGTGGCACCATCTTGGCCCACTGTGACCTCCGCCTCCTGGGTTCAAGTGATTCTCCTTTCTTATTCTTCCAGAGTAACTGGGATTACAGGCCTGTGCCACCATGCCCTGCTAAGTTTTGTATTTTTGATAGAGGCGAGGTTTCACCATGTTAGTTAGGCTGGTCTGGAAGTTCTGACTTCGAGTGATCTGCCTGCCTTGGCCTCCCAAAGTGCTGGGATTACAGGTGTGAGTCACGACACAGGGCCTTCGTAAACTTTCTTTAAGAAAAGATTTTTTTTTTCTTTTGCTCATCAGCTACCATTAGTGTTAGTTATTTTATATTTGACCCAAGACAATTCTTCTTCCAGTGCGGCCCAGGGAAGAAAAGATTAGATATCCCTAGTATAGACCATTTTAGCAGAGAGCCTGACCTATTCAAGTCCCATATTACAAGTTCCTATTCCTATAGGCCTCTCTTCAAGGTTGGGGGTGGAGGCAATGGACTGTTCTTTAGGCATCCAGTTGATGAGGTGGTATATTTAACAGATCGTTGGTGTCAGGTGCCGTGGCTCATGCCCGTAATCCCAGCACTTTGGGAGGCTGAGATGGGCGGATCACTTGAGCTCAGGAATTCAACACCAGCCTGACTAACATGGTGAAACCCCATCTCTACTAAAAATAAAAAAAAAATTAGCTAGGAGTAGTGGCACATGCCTATAATCCCAGCTACTCAGGAGGCTAAGGCAGGAGAATTGCTTGAACCTAGGAGGTGGAGGTTGCAGTGAGCCAAGATCATGCCACTGCGCTCCAGCCTGGGCAATAAGAGCAAAACTCCATCTCAAAACAAAAAAAACAAAATAAAACAGATCATTGGCACTAGTGGTTTTAACATCATCAAAAACAGCCTCTGGGCCGTATTCCAGAGCCTGGAGGATGTTGTGAACAACCGCAGTAGGGAGTGCAGGGCGAGGGGTCTGGATGCCCAGAGACGGCTCCGTTAGCTAGCATCTGAATGAAAGACCAGGGAGGGGCCCAACTGTTGTCCTGTGGAAGAAACGTGCCATTTTCCACATGAGTTCATTGTTTTGTCTTCTCATCAGTCACTTGGTAGGTGCCCAACATGTCTTAAAGACATCAGTGCCATTGTCATCCACACTGGATAAATTCTTCCAGGAGAAAGGTTCCAGGAGAGCTTGGCCAAGTCTCAGGGGTCTTGAAGGTTTCTGTTTCATAGACAGGAAGGATTGTAGAAATGGGGAGAGATGGGGTTAAAGCTCTGGGGAGCACAAAGGAATGAAGAACAGTGATCTGATTTCCTTGCTGGGGCGCAGACCCAGCAGGTCTGACCCCTGGCTTCAGACTCCAGGCAAAACCTAAGAATTATCTAATCCCAACACATGCTGAGCCCTGGTTATAGACTACATAACCATCTCCCACATAGACTTTTACAAATTTCTGCAGACTCTGTTGAAATTTTCAAAATACCAATTTATCTGGAAAGGTGCAGAATTCATGGTAGCTTTTGATCAGCCAGAACCAAAAGGTCCTGTAGTTCCCTTGTGTCGGGGGGCTCACAACATATTTCTTCTTTCTTTCTTTTCTTTTTTTTTTTTGAGATGGAGTCTCTGTCTCCCAGGCTGCAGTACAGTGGAGCAATCTCGGTTCACTACAACCTCCACCTCCCAGGTTCAAGCGATTCTCCTACATCAGCCTCCTAAGTAGCTGGGATTACAGGTGCACGCCACCACGCCCAGCTAATTTTTGTATTTTTAGTAGAGATGGGTTTTCACCATGTTGGCCAGACTGGTCTTGAACTCCTGGCCCCAGGTGATCTGCCTGCCTCAGCCTCCCAGAGTGCTGGGATTACAGGAGTGAGCCACCATGCCCAGCTGCTTGTGACATTTTCCTTTAAAGCATACTCAGAAAATGTGTGAAGCGCTGGCTAAGTATTTGTGCTCTGAAGTCAGCAATCATCAGATTGTTCATCACTCAAAACGAGGAAAACATCATGAATGTTCTCAAAATCTTAATAATCCACCTTGTCTGATGGCAAGACCAGGCAAACAATGTCATTATGCAGCTAAGCAAGGAATCTAGTGATCTGATTCACTTCAAATGTAGACAGGCTTTATTGCTAGGTGTATTGCCAAAGGACATTTTGGTGGCAGAGTATAAAACCCTTAACCCCTGTCACCTGCCAGCCGTTCTGCCAGTCCCTATTCAGTCTTTCTTGGAGCCCCAGCTGGTTGAAAGTCAGGCTCACCTATCGCAGGTGCTCTGTGCTGCCACTCTGCCAACATCAGCATCTTTCTTGCTTCTGTTCCAGATTTTGATGGTAGACATAAAAATGATAGTAATAAGAGCTTCTCTGTGCATGCTAGGGTACTAGGCACCTCATGCCCTTGTTTTCTAATCACAAACACTCTCAGGTGTCTCAGAGTCAGAACGGAAACCTGGGTCTTTGAGGTTCAAAGCCCTGGGGCAATAGACATGATGGTAATTTCACACTTGTTCGGACCCAGAAGGCTGAGGCAACTACTGGGTGACAAAGTCCACTTTCAGACCTGTTTGTCCAGTTACTGCATGCTGACTGACTGCCACTGGCCAGTCTCTGTGATTTGGCTTAGAATGTTGAGCAAATGATTACCGACACGTGGTCAGACACAGAATGAATGGAACTGCCAGGATCAAAGCAGCCACACAGGGCTCACATCCAAAGGCGGCCCTTTCTTTCCATGTGTGGCATAGGAAGGACTCTTGGCCACAGACCTTCACGGTTATTCTTAAGAAGACTCCTAAGAATAGGAGAATTTGGCCTTCCTACTCCACTCAGGTAACAGGCAGGCTCAGTAGTATCACTGTGGAATTGGAAGACAGCAATTCGTAGAGACAGAACAAATGAGCATCTGTCACAAGAAAGAACAATCCGCAAACATTGAAAACTAGAGTTCATTTTAAGGAGTTTGTATTTTTTACACTTCTTTTTTAAGGAGATAGTTCCCTAACTAAATCTGGAGTAACTATGAATAAACAGAAGTGAGTCTGAATTCAGTGCACATCACATTTTGCCACAGTTTCCCGGATTTAGCCAACATTTGTATGTGATACTTCCAATATTGAGTTTTTCACATATCAACAAGTAGTGTCTTAACAAAAGAAATATAAGCCAGGTGCAGTGGCTTGTGCCTGTGATCCCAGCACTTCGGAAGGCGAAGGTGGGAGGATTGCTCGATGACAGGAGGTCAACACCAGCTTGGGCAACATAGTGAGACCCTGTCTCTACAAAAAAAATTTTTTTAAGTATCTGGACATGATCACGTGCCTGTAGCCCCAGCTACTCAAGAGGCTGAGGCAGGAGGATCCCTTGAGCCCAGGAGTTTGAGCTCATTGCACCACTGTATTCCAGTCTGGGCAACAGAGGGAAACTTTCTTTCTCTCTCTCCCCGGTCACCCTCTCCGTATATATATAGAAAACAAATTCCAATAAGCAAATGTATTATCTATAAAGTCTTTGCTAAATAAATATTCTTCTTTGTTTGAGATATATATATAACTGTATGCTGACTAAATATGCCACTCCTACTCCCCACCCTCTCACCTGTAGCTATTACCATGTGCTCAACCTTGAGCCAAATAACTGATGCAGTAGCAGCTTCATATAAGTGTCAGGTTCCCACATTGATTTTGGGAAGTATCCCAGAAAATCTACTTCCTTGGTGCCTGTATTGGGTTGAATTATTTATTTATTCCACTTTATTTATTCATAAATAAATATCTATTACTAATACGTAAGTAAATAATTAATAATAAATAGATATTTATTTATTCCACTTTATCCCCCCAGAAAAACTCATGTCCACCCAGAACCTCAGAAAGTGACGTTATTTGGAAATACAATCTTTGCAGATGTAATTAGTTAAATTGAGGTCATATTGAATTAGGATGGGCTCTAAATCTAATCACTGGTAACTTGATAAGAAAATTCACAGAGATGCTTGTCATGCGTGGTAGCTCACACCTGTAATCCTATCACTTTGGGAGGCCAAGGTGGCTGGATCACTTGAGCCCAGGAGTTCGAGACCAGCCTGGCCAACATGGCAAAACCCTGTCTCTACTAAAAAAAAAATACAAAAAAGAAAATAAAATTCAAAGAGATACGGACACACAGGAAGACGGCTGTGTAAGACACTGGCAGAGACTGGAGTGAAGCCGAGGAACACCAAGAGTTTCCGGCAGTCACCAGAAACAAGGAGAAAAATATCAAGCAGGGTCTCCGTTAGAGCCCCTGGAAGGAACCGACCTTTCTGGCATTTGGATTTTAGACTTCCAGCTTCTAAAACTGTGAGAATGCATATCTGTCGTTTGAGGCCACTGGGCCTATGGTAATTTGTTACCCCAAAGAAGCATTTCAGGGCCAGAGATTCCCCCATTCCTATGTTCATGTTTCTTTTTTTTCTGGGAAGCCAGCAGGGTTAACAATTGTGACTATGTCCTTTAGTTCCCAAGGAAAGTAAATTTGGGCCTCAGTGCGCCTCATTCCAGAAGATAAGCTGTATACTATCTATACATAGCTTGGATAGGAAATGTATTGTCTGTAAAGTCTCTGCTAAATAAATATTTCTCTTTGTTTAAGAGTTATACTGGCTTGCTTTGTGTATTTTTTTTTTAAAAGCATGATGGTCTATCCCAACCAGGAAAGGAAGGTTGGCTAGATGTCACTACGGACACTTTCGGACCTAGGTCACCTTCACCACTCACACCCACACTCACATACTGCTGCTGGAACAGACACCTGGCTGTCCCCAGGGGCTGGGGGTGGTCTGTGAACCTCAGGCTGAGCCCCTCATTGCTAAGGAATATACCCTGCCCCCCGGCCAGGAGCATTTCGGTAGTTAAAAGTCCCACTTAGAGCAGAGGTCACAGGCATTGCAGGTGTGTTCACAGGCAGTGCTGCATTCCCTCTGTGCTGCTTTGGCTGTATACCCAACGGGGAAGAAAGGAGAGCAAAAGAACTCTGCCTCTCTTGGTGTCTCTTGGTGTCTCGCATTTTACACCTCATTGCAATTCAAAGAATTCAAACATCGTGGCCTACCCTAAAACCACAGGAGTTGAAGAACCATGCAAGCAACTGCTTTAGAGGAACCGGGATCAGAGAGAGAAGGATGTGAACCCTTGGCCTGAGTCACAGGCAAACGGGACCTGGGGAGCTAAGCTGGCTCCTGCGGTCACCTGCAGGGGTGATAGGCTCTACCTGGGTACTGCTCTGTGTCTTATTCATAAAGTGGAATAAATTCTCCACTTTCTAGTTATGTAGCTCTTGGCTGTAACCTTTATAAGGGTATGTGAAACAGTGTCTGCTGAAGGCCTAACTTGAACTTCTTTTTAGCATGCCAACCTGCCAGTAAACAAAAAAAGAAACACATTATGGACTTCCGATCTTCTAAAAGCCACAATCAACATATTTAACACTGGCCTAAAGACAAACAGGTGATGCCAGCTGTGAGCCTTCGCAGGGTTCACAGGGTCTAATTTAATAAATCAGACATGTTGTATTTATTGGGACCGCACATACGTCTTGACCATTGATTTTGTCAAAATATTCAGCTCTAGAAAAACAAATGCCAGTTTCCTCTTCCTTGTCCTCCTCTCCTGCAGGTTGGTCGACAACTTCTGCATTCGCGAAGGGTACAGTACACCTCGCTGTCTCATGTATGAGATTTACATGGAGTCCTGTGGGCAAAATGCTGAGAACCAAGTCAACCTGGCCACCTTTGGGAAGGTAAGTTGTGAAGATTAAGAATGCTCTATTCACTGAGTGCAAAAAAGGGAAGCAAGTTAATGGAGGAAATGTTGAAATGTATTCGGGTCTAATGGATTTTCAGTGGGTATCTCTGGCTTCCTTCCCACTAGCTGGTCAACATCCTTCAGCTTATTGAAGAGCCATTCTGTTAGCCACTTCCCTTTGTCCACACTTCATAGTGAGGGGCCAGGAAGGATGAGGAATGGGGTAGCACCTAAGGGAATGTAATTATGGCAGCTCCAAGCACTCCTCAGGGAGCCGGGTTTGCTGGGCTGCTATTCCCTGCACAGAATGCCAAGCTCTGAGAGCTGCTTTGGCACCACACAAGCTCTGAGAGCCACTTTGTGGTATAGGACAACTGATATTTCTCACAGTTTGATTGTACTGAGAGAACTCATTGACTCTTAAAAGATTTTCTCTGGAGGCTAAGAATTTTTTTTTTTATTTTTGAGATGGAGTTTCAGTCCTGTTTCCCAGGCTGGAGAGCAATGGCACGATCTCAGCTCACTGTAACCTCCACCATCTAGGTTCAAGCAATTCTCCTGCCTCAGCCTTTCAAGTAGCTGGGATTATAGGCACCTGCCACCACGCTCAGCTAATTTTGTACTTTTAGTAGAGATGGGTTTCACCATGTTGGCCAGGCTGGTCTTGAACTCCTGACCTCAGGTGATCCACCTGCCTCAACCTCCCAAAGTGCTGGGATTACAGGCATGAGCCACCATGCCTAACCTCTGGAGGTTAAGGTCTGTATCCTGGAACTTCGTTTAAGACCACATACTGTACAGCCAACATTAGCACAAGCATTGTCCAAGACCCTCTGCATTCAACAAATGTTTATTTAGCCACTGCTGCGTGCCAGACTGAAGATACAATGAATAAAACAGATAAAAATTCCTGCCCTTAACTGAACTTCTGGTTGTCACAGCCACCTAGTCCAGGAAGGTAGCATTCATGTCATTTCATGGTCGAGAAAACAAACCTGGAGTGATTAAAGCTAAGGGTCCCACAGCTGGTTGCAATATGTGGGTGGCAGATACAGCTTCTTGAATTGTGATTCCGAGTTCTTTCTACCTGGTTTTCCCCCAAAACGTTTGTGAACTCAAAGAGATGTTGGAGGTCACCTTGTCCAAGTGTCCACCCGATAGAAGATGTCTTCTAAAGCACCTTTGGCTGGGAGCCTCTTATGAGGACCAGGTGCCCTCTTCAAGCAGAGACAGTGCTGTCGGGGCATAGAGCTGGGTGAAGGGATGGTACATTTCTGCAAAGAAGATGATTCCCCTTCTGGGAAAACACAGCCCCATTCCAGGATTTGTGGCATAGCAAAGAACACAGGCTGATGAAAAATTGTACAACTCCTCATCAGGGGCCTTGGAGCAGTTCATGACCTGCACAGCCATGTCCCTTTGGGTGGCCATCTGGCTTGGATTTCAGTGATCTAGGTGACAAGATTATTCACTGGGCCACAAGGTTGCCAGTTCAATTTCCTCCCTCCCGTTCTTCCTTCTTTCCCTCTTTTTCAGTGGTCCTCAGGTGGACAGAATTGGATTGGTTAATGACACACTGTCTTCATTGAGGAATGCATGGTTTAAGAATGTACTTTAGTGGGTTCTTTATACAATGTGATAAGTGTCTATGAACCTGCCACCCAAAATGAACCATATTGCCAGTCCCCCACATCACATCTCCTGGCCCTTTCTGCTGGTTGGAAACTTCATCCCATTCATGATGACCTTGCCTTTTGAAAAAGAAATTTAGTGCACTTAAATGTATTGTTTAAAAGCCTATTTTTAATTTTTTTTTTTTTTGAGACGGAGTCTCACTCTGTTGCTCAGGCTGGAGTGCAATGGTGTGATCTTGGCTCACTGCACCTCCCAGGTTCAAGCAATTCTCTCACCTCAGCCTCCTTAGTAGCTGGGATTATAGGCACCCGCCATCATGCCCGGCTAACTTTTGTATTTTTGCAGAGATGGAGTTTCACCATGTTGGCCGGGCCAGTTTTGAACCTGACCTCAGGTGATCCACCTGCCCAGGCCTCCCAAAGTACTGGGATTATAGGCGTGAGCCACTGTGCCTGGCCTATTTTATGTTTTTGTTAACTTTATTAAAAGGGGTATCATGTTGTTTGCAATCTTTGGGAACTTTTTTCACTTAATAGTATCTTAAGATTCATCAGAATTCAATGGCCCATTGTGTAATATTTCACAATGTAGTCATCCATCTCCCATTGATGAGCATTTGGGTTGTTGCCCCGTGAACATTTGTGTATGTGTGTTCTGGTGTGCTTGTGCAGATTTTCTCTTGTATGTCCAGGAGTGAACTTGCAGAGTTAGGGTGTGCATGGCTGAGTGACATCAGAGGATGTGACCACACTATGACCCTCCCTCGAGCAGTCCTGTGGATTTCAATTTTACTTGCAAAACATTGAAATGATCAGATCCATTCTTCCCAACAGTCTTCATTTTTGAAACTTCTGGTCATTGGTGGAAGTTCTGCACTTCTGATAATCCCAGGATCTTCTAATATGGAAGCTGCTCACATATTGAAACAACTGTTCACCTCTCCCTGCCCCTTTGCCTCCCTGCCCGCAAGTTTTATTATGACTTCAATTATTGATATGTCTCTTAAAGGTGGCTCCAAGGGTGCAACCCACTCTTTTGGATGTGCTCAAAGGACAAGAGTGCTTACCTTTTTTTGGCTACTATTGGCTTTTATTTTTCTCTATCTGTTGATTTCACTTTAAGCTTGTAGTCAACAGAAACAACCCTGAAGTACTTTTTTCTTAAGAGTTGAAATTAAGGTAAGCCTCCCAAAACAGTTTTGTAAACCATGAAATATTAATACTCTATATAAATAAAAAATAGTGTTGTTGTCAGACTGTTATCATCATGTAATTAACTATTTGAACCCAAGAGTAGCTATTCTCTTATCCTATTGTATTTCACCTCTCCAGTTTCTTGTTTTGTTGAGATGGAGTCTTGCTCTATCGCCAGGCCGGAGTGCAGTGGCGTGATCTCGGCTCACTGCAGCCTCCGCCTCCTGGGCTCAAGCGATTCTTCTGCCTCAACCTCCTGAGTCGCTGGGACTACAGGCACATGCCACCATGCCTGGCTAATTTTTTTGCATTTTTTTTTTAGTATAGACAGGGTTTCACCATGCTGGCCAGGATGGTCTCAATCTCTTGACCTCGTGATCTGCCCGCCTCAGCCTCCCAAAGTGCTGTGATTACAGATGTGAGTCACCATCCCCAGCCACCTCTTCAGTTTTGACCTGCAGTTCTATTTCTCACCATCTTCTTGAATCACAGGTGGTTCATCCAGTCTTCCCAACCTGCTGAAGCAGCTATGTTTGAAAAGTATGTCTTTTATCAAGTCATCTTGCTAGGTGACCATGGAGGTGAAACAGCCTTGTAACAGGTTTTCTCAATAGCTGGGAATTCCCCCAGCTGCTATCATCCAGCTCTTATTTTGCCATTTCATCACTCTGAATATTGGGAGACATCATCAGCCCTCTACCTACCACCCATATCAGAGGGAAGGGGGTGACTTTAGCTTGACGAGTTTTAGCTCCATGGGATTCCTACCTCCTTTACTAACATAGCAGAAGCTCTTGTTCAAGATTGTTTAAAGATCTTATTATAAGGCTGTTTCACCTCCATGGTAATTCCACTGTAAAGCATTTAAAAAAATGTTAAAGAGATGCCAGTGTGTGACAACATGCACTTAGGTGGCTTTTTTTTTTTGAGATGGAGTCTTCCTCTGTCGCCAGGCTGGAGTGCCGTGGCATGAATCTCGGCTCACTGCAACCTTTGCCTCCTGGGTTCAAGCAATTCTCCTGCCTCAGCCTCCCAAGTAGCTGGGACTACAGGAATGCACCACCACACTCAGCTAATTTATATATTTGTAGTAGAGACGGGGTTTCAGCATGTTGGCCAGGATGGTCTTGATCTCTTGACCTCATGATCCGCCTGCCTCAGCCTCCCAAAGTACTGGGATTACAGGCATGAGCCACCGCACCCAGACTGGCATTTTTAAATCTTAATACTCTAGGATCCCCTTAGAATTCCCCAAGATGCCAAGGTACTAACTTTCAGCTTATTGGAAATTTGCCTGAAGAATGGGCCACATCAGTTGAGCTAGTATTGGGAAGGATCTCTGTGCTGCTGAATTTGTGACTAAATGGAGAAGGGAGAGGAAAGGAAAAGGATATGATCCCTCAGTGTGTTTACAAGAGAAACAACAAAATCCACAATTCTCACTTCCTCCCTCCGCCCCGGGAATGGAGTCGGTTTCTTGCCAGGTTCCTGTGCAGATGTTGGAATGTTTCTTGCTCTTTGTGGCAGTACTGGGCATATGACGGGTAAGGCTCGTTCCTGGTACAAGTGATGATATTTTATACGGATTAGGGAATTTCTGGAAGACCAACTTCCTCGTTTGAAATAACATTTAGTGATGTTTTTCTTTTTTTTTTTGAGACGGAGTTTCGCTCTTGTTACCCAGGCTGGAGTGCAATGGCACGATCTCGGCTCATTGCAACCTCTGCCTCCCGGGTTCAGGCAATTCTCCTGCCTCAGCCTCCTGAGTAGCTGGGATTATAGGCACGCACCACAATGCACAGCTAATTTTTTGTATTTTTAGTAGAGGCCGGTTTTCACCATGTTGACCAGGATGGTCTCGATCTCTTGACCTTGTGATCCACCCGCCTTGGCCTCCCAAAGTGCTGGGATTACAGGCTTGAGCCACCGCACCCAGCCTTAGTGATGTTTTTCTGATTATAAAAGGACTACATCCCCTTTGCAGGAAATGTGGAAATTAGAGAAGAATGAGTAAAAAAAAGAAAATGAATGCCGGCTGTAGCTTCCCTGTCCAGAGATATAGGCACGTGTGTGTAGTTCATTTGCAGACGTGCACACTCACTCATGACCTTGCTGGAAATTCTTGGATGATACAAAGTCTTATTGTCACTGTAATTACCCAACAATGTCATCAGTCTGATGCTTAAAGTATCCAGTCCCAGATAATTTCAAAACTCTGAACTTGGTTTAAAGTGGAGCCATTTCCCCATCCCCTACAGTTTGGTATCTTGCCACAGAGAACTAGACCTGGGGCTTCTTCCCTCCCTCTCCCTCCTCCGGCAGCTCACCAGGTGTGGCCTGACCCCTCTGGGAGGGAGAAGGAGGTTCTGGGGGCCAGGCAGACTCTGACCTCCTGATGCTGGTGTTCAGGGCCCCCTTGGGACTGTCCCAGTGTGCATCGCCAGGCTTGGTGAAGGATCCTTTTCAGTGGTCACATGCTGCCTACCCAATGTTCTACCTCCCAGGGCTGCTGTGGCTGACCACCCATCCCCGGGGCCTTGCAGGGCAGAGTCTGGGCCCTCCCACATACCAGCTCTTTCATGGAGACAATGCAGCCATTCTCGGCCTGCACAGACTGGGTGAGCCTACGAAACCCAGAGCTGCACCCATCTCTTCCGCTGTCCTGCCAGAGCCGCTGGCCAGCCCTGCCTTTACTGCCCACCAGGAGTCTGAGGACGCTCTTTGAGTATGGCCCCCTGAGGGGGCCCACACCCCTCCCACACATGCTTCACAGGGATGCGGGTGGTTTTGAAGCTGGAAAGCCCCTTATGTGTCCTCTTCTCTCTAGCTTGTTGAGGGTGATGAATATTAAGGGCTTCTGTAGAGTTCTGTAACCACATTTCAGCTAAACACCCGAGGACACAAGTCCCCTAGGGTATGCATCTCACAATTCACTTTCCTGCCTGTTATCTGCTATATTCTTGCCTCATCCAGTCATATAGAGGCTGCGTGGATGGATGGATTGAAAGATCAATGTGTGGATGGATGACGGACAAAACAGATAAAATTAGACAACAAGACCCCTCAGAAGACTTTCTCCTTCCTGATTTGAGTTCCGTCTCCTCTTTGGGCCTTGAGTACCGCATGTCCTCTTTTTGCTGCTTTACCTCCTGGCCACAAGTATTATAAGGGCTCCTTTTGACAAACTTCTTCAATTCTTTTCACTTGAGTGTGCTGTTTCCTGTCGGGACCCTAATTGATAAAGATAGATAGGTAGATTGACAGATACCCAGGCAGACAGACAAATGGGCATCAGGTAATATGGTAACATTTTAACAGCACCAAGCCTGGAATGGAACTTAGATCCTAACCCTGGGTAAGATAACCATCTTGCTTCCACTTCATCATATGTAAAGTGAGGATATTACTAATAGTAATATTAATAATAGTACCTACTTCTTGAGGTTCTTTTAAGAAAGAAATGAAAAAACACATGTAAAGAGAATAAAACAGTCCTGGCATGCCGAAAGCACCCAAGAAATATTAACTTTTGTCATTATGTTTGCCTCAAGTATCATAAACATTTTCACATTAAAATATTTTCAAATGCATCTTGTATAATATCTGTGAAATATTTTGGAGGGTGTACCATAATTAACCATATCCCCCCGTTTTTTGAGGCAGAGTGTTGCTCTGTCACTTGGGCTGAAGTACAGTGGCATGATCTCAGCTCACTGCAACCTCTGCCTCCTAGGCTCAAGCAAGCCTCCCACTTCAGCCTCCCAAGTAGCTGGGACTACAGGTGTGCCACCACACCTGGATAATTTTGTTTTGTTTTTAGAGACAGTTGCCAAGTTGCCCAGTCTGATCTTGGACCCCTGGGATCAAGCAATGCACCTGCCTCGGCCTCCCAAAACGCTGGGATTACAGGTGTGAGCCACCACCCAGCCTCACCATATCCTTTACTGGAAATATAGGTTGTTTGTAATTTTCCTGTTTTCAACACCACAAATCCCCATCCATATCTGGTCATTTTTCTAGGATAGATCCCCACATGTAGCCTGCCAAATTGCTTTCTCCAACCAACTGTAAACAATTATAGTCAGTTCCCACCCCTGATGATAATTCTTGGTATTCTTACACAAATTCATACTATTTCTACCCCAGAAAACTTGTTGGTAAAAACTAGGATTAGCTGTCTCTACTTGCATTTATTGGATTGTAAGATGAGCACTTTTGATGTCCTTTAGTCATTGTGTACGTTGTGTGTGTATATATTACCACCAGACCATTTTCTATTGGGGCATATTTCCTATTGATTTGTTTGAGCTCTTTCTATATTCAGGATATAATTTTTAACTTAATTATATTTTCTGCAAGGTATCATCCCAGTTGCTTTTTTCATTGTAACTGTGTTGTATTTGTTCTCTGTATTAGAATGAAATCACAGGACAGTCCTGGTTGGGGTGACTCAGAATCATCAAATGTGCGGAGTATTATGTTGCCAGGCAACCAGGCACTTTACTTCCACTTTTCCAAACACCAGAGCTAGAATCGGGCTATTTCCCGGGCTAGAATCGGCACCTGCTGCATACTTTCTCATAATTTCTTTAGGTACTTAAGCTGTGCGTCTTAATTTTATTTTGCAACTAAACATACAGGAAGACTTTTCAGTGATTTTTCTTAAGTTAGAGGAGATGAAATTGTCAGAATCTCTGGTTGACAGTAGGAATTTCTGGCCACTAATTCTGCATTTAGATTTGGCTGACTTTTGTTTTTGTCTTCTGTCATTTTCGTCCTGTACATTTTGGTTCTCCTTCCCTGAAAGACCCTCTGCATTTACAGGCATGATCGAGGTATTAATTGTGTCAGACTTGCCTATCCTATTCTTTTGTCTTGCCTCCCCCACTCCCTGGCCTGTTTAGGCTTCCTGCAGGAAGACTAGGACCTGGAGCCAGACAAGACAAATGATTCACATTTCCATAGAATCCCACTGCTTGGGGGCTAATTTTAAAAAAAAGAAGAAGAAGGAGGAGGGATGCAACATGAAACCAAGAAGAAGTGAGGGCTGAATGGTTATGGACAGGGTGTGAATACAAATAATTACTTGACAGCTCTGAACACCTTGGCTTCCCTGCTCTGTGTTTTGTAACTTCATGATGGTCCAGGATTTCTGCTCTCAACACCATGTCGTGGATGCCACGCTTGTCATGAATCTCGTTGATTCAGAAACTAGAACAGACTTCTGTTGGTCATAAGTGTAATGTCATGGCTCTCTAACAAAGTGCTGATAAACAAGATAGCATTCATTAACCAAACCCAGAAAGAGAACAAAATTAGGCAAACGAATGGATAATACAGTGTGAAATGATTATCACATTAGAAAAAGAGGACAATAGTAAAATTATGGCCTTCTCACAGGTTGGACTATGATGCCAAACTGTGAGACCAGTTAGGACTATGGTTCATCATTCCCTGTTTCCAGAGAATTTTTAATGACAAGGGGAAATGTTCATGGCATAATGTTGAGGGAAGAGAGTAGAATGCAAAACTGCAGACATGCTAATTGTGTGATGCTGGGTATTAACTGAAGCACAGAGAACACACACACATATTGGGGCTTTGGAAACAAGACTGGAATCAATAACATTGAGGATTTTTAGTTTTGTTTTGTTTTTCTGAGTTGGAGTTTCACCCTTGCTGCCCAGGCTAGAGTGCAGTTCACTCTCAGCTCACCACAACTTCTGCCTCCAGGATTCATGCCCCGCAAATTTTTGTACTTTTAGTAGAGATAAGTTTTCACCATGTTGGCCAGGCTGATCTCAAACTCCTGACCTCAGGTGATCTGCCCACCTTGGCCACTCAAAGTGCTGGGATTACAGGCATGAGCCACCATGCCCAGACAACACTGAGGTTTAAATGGCAGTTTTCTCCAAGTGGTATGTTTTCTTTTCTTTTTTTTTAGGGGGAACCAGAGTCATGCTCCGTCACCCAGGCTGGAGTGCAGTGGCATGATCTTGGCTCACTACAACCTCCACCTCTTGTGTTTAAGTGATTCTCCTGCCTCACCCTCCGGAGTAGATGGGACTACAGTGTATGTGCCACCACACCTGGCTGATTTTTGTATTTTAGTAGTGACCAAGTTGTAGAAACGGGTTTTACCATGTTGGCCAGGCTGGTCTCGAACTCCTGACCTCAAGTGATCTGCCTGCTTCTGCCTCCCAAAGTGCTGGGATTACAGGCGGGAGCCACAATGCCTGCCTCCAAGTGGTATGTTTTCTTTTTCACACTTGTCTGATTTTTTTCCCCAAAAATTTCATTTACATTTCTTTTCCTTATTGTTACCTTTATTTATTATTATACTTATTTTCATTATTTTTTTATTATCAGGAAAGAGGAAATATCTTTTAAATATTATAAGATAAAATATTGGAAGTTTGTTTCTAAGTTTTTGAGTTACAACTTTAAATCTGCCTTTTTCTTTTTCAGTGATCACCTGCTCCACGGGATCATCCCCAACACTGAGTGTCCCTTTCACTCGCAAATGTGTTACAATAAATTATAATGAATTATATGGTCACCCCTGGTATAAAGCATCCTATGTGTGAGGCAGCCGCTGTGGTGGAGAGATGAGGAACCTCCAGTATGGGTAAGACAGGGACTGTTTTCTGATAGCTAAGATGTCCATTTACTTTTATCCTCAAGTATAACATGACATGTGTCAGAAACATACAAAAGATACCATGAGAACTCAAAGATGGGGAGCACACATTTTGGGTGGGTGATCACGAAGGGCCTACAAGGGCGTTGGGCTTTGAGTGAAGCAATGAAGGACAGATTAGAATTTGACAGGTGGTGTCAGAGAGGGATATAGGAGTGCAGAGGACATCCAGGCTTAGGGGAGCAAAGATAAAGGTTTGTGAAGGCAAGGGCTTTGTCCTGCACAGGTGTGCATGGAGCTCTAGTAAAACATAAATCTGGAGGGCAAGTTCAGGGAGCCTAGATTGCCAGGCTGGGTAGTGAGGGGTGTCCACAAGTTCTTTGGAGGCTTCCTTTAGTAGAATGGTAATTACCAGAGGCTGGGGGGAATAGGGAGGAATGAAAGGTTGGTTAATGATTAATGGATATCAACATACAGTTAGATAGAAGGAATAAGCTCCAGTATTTGATAGCACAGTAGGGTGATTATAGTTAACAATATATTGTGTATTTCAAAATATTTAGAAGATTTGAAATGTTCCCAACACAAAGAAATAATAAATATTTAAGGTAATGGATATGCTAAACACCCTGATGCATATATCACAATATCATATGTACCCCATAAATGTGTACAATCAGTATGTTTAAAAAAAAAAAGAAGCAAACAGCAAACCTTCACCGGACACCAAATCTGCCTGCACCATGATCTTGGACTTCCCAGCCTCCAGAACTGTGAAAAATAAATTTCTTTTGTTTATAAAGTACCCAGTCTAAGGTATTTTGTTACAGTTGCAGGAACAAGGACATATTCCCAGAGTGGGCACTGAAATAGCTATTGAAGAACTGAAAATTCAGCATTGGGGTTAAGAAGAATAGATGGGAAAGGAGAGGGTGATGGGCCCAGAGATGGTCCCAGGGCACTGGAATCAGACAGGAGGCAGGTCTGAGACACCTCTCAGAGGCAGGGTCTTCAGGATCTGGCAGTTGGTTGAGTCAGTGTAGTAGAAGGGAGCAGGGATGATTCAGCCAACCTTATCCCACCTAAACTCAACCTCAAATAAAGTCATGTTCTGTCTCAACCAGCTCTTCCTCTTACATCTCTTATTCATCTCTTAGTCACAGGGATGGAAAAGTTACATTGGCAAAAACAGAGAAGCTAGGAAAAGGAGTAGCTATAATGAGAGATTTATTTTAGTGACTGTTAGAACTTCCCGGTGCAAATGTGTTTTCTCACTTGCTGAACTATAGGCTCCTGAAGGCTGGGTATAGATCCTGCATTCCACCGTGTGCTCCGGCACCTAGCAGTCAGTTAACTAACAGATAATTTGGAGAGCCCTGCACACTCCAAGAGAACAACTAACGAGGAAGCATTCGGCACTCAGAGGGGAGAGACCATTAGTGTCCCGGGGACTCTGTTTCCAATATCACAGAGAGGTCCTAGGAGTGGCCCTTATGGGGGAAGAAAAATAGACTTTATCATCAGCGAGGTAGAGGACTGCCAGAGAATAAAGATAAAGGCAAGGGTGACATTGGCGGGTCGTGAGATAAGCCCAGCAACAGGTACTTTTCATGTACTCTATGCTTGGCAAATACTCAATAATTGATCAACTTGGCCAGGCACAGTGGCTCACGCCTGTAATCCCAGTGCTTTGGGAGGCCGAGGCGGATGGATCACAAGGTCAGGAGATCGAGACCAGCCTGGCCAATATGCCAAAACCCCGTCTCTACTAAAAATACAAAAATTAGCTGGGTGTGGTGGTACACGCCTGTAGTCCCAGCTACTCAGGAGGCTGAGGCAGGAGAATTGCTTGAACCTGGAAGGCGGAGGTTGCAGTGGGCTGAGATCACGCCACTGTACTTCAGCCTGGGCGACAGACCGAGACTCTATCTCAAAAAAACCCCAAAAACCAAAAAACACAAACAAACAAAATAATAAATCAACTTTAAAATCGTGACCAGTTAAGGGATTTTTTAAAAAGCATTAAGATTTAAGAATAAGTTCACTACCAATGCCACATTTCTGGATATACTAAAAGAGTATTTTAGAAAGCAGAAGTATAAGAAATGGTAAACTGTTAATGAGCTGTACTGATGAAAATGTCTATTTTGTTATATGATATATAAGAACTCGTGTGACAAATTCCTCTTAAAAATTAAATCTCAAAACAAGTTTATCTCTCTAGTTTTTAGGTAATGAAAACTCTGTAACTCATCTGCCATTTATTTGTTCATTCAACAAATATTTCAGTTCCTACAGTAAGTCAGGCTTGTTCTGGCTACCAATGATACAGCAGGGAACAAGATAAACAAGGCCTCTTCTTTTATTAAGCTTAGTTAGGAAAACACAAAAACAAGAACAACAGGCCACACATCAACATGGGCAGACTGTTTGAGTTCAGGAGTTCAAGACCAGTCTGGGCAACATAGCAAGATCATGTCTCTCTAAAAAATATAAACAATTAGCTGGGCATGGTGGTGCACTTGTGGTCCCAGCTATTCAGGAGGCTGAGGTGGGAGTGTCACCTGAGCCTGGGAGGTCAAGGCTGCAGTGAGCCATGATCACACCACTGCACTCCAGCCTGGGCTACAGAGCAAGACCCTGTCTCAAAAGAAAAAGAACAACGGGGAGATCTGATCTGAACACAATACAATGAAGTCATGGAGAGGCCTCCCTGAGACAATACCATTTGAACAGAGTGCCAGTCAAGGAACCAAGTAAAGATCTGGAACAAGCATTCCAGGTAGAGGAAAGGGCAGTGCAAAAGGCCTGAGGCAGAGATGAGTTCAAGGAGCAAGAAAGTCTGAGGGTAGACTTCAGTGGGAGAGCAGGAGGGTGGGAAGAGAGGAACCTAAACGCAGAGGTGGGTGAGAGGTTAGAGAGACCAGGGAGAGGCTTTTGTGGCAGCCCTGGAAGAAACAGCTCATTGAGATGAGTGACTGAAATAATTTTAATTCTCCCAAGAAGCAGCAGAACACTATGCAATACTGCATGTGGATGAGAGAAGAGACTGAAACAGACTGCCTGGCTCTACCACTAACTAGTAAGCTGTGTGATCTTAGGCAGGTCACTCAGTCTCTGTGTCTCAGTTTCCTTATCCATTAAGTAAGAATAACAGTATCTACTTCATGGGACTGCTGTAAGATTACATTAATTAATACAGGGAAAATGCTTAGTGCAGTATTTGGCACACAGCAAACATTCAGTAGGGCCCCTAAGCATATTGATCTGTACTTTGATGTATTTATTTTATCATGCCTGCATGATTTTTTCATGGTATTTGTATATTATTTTTATTCCAGTTATTGTATTTTTCAGTTGCATAATTTCCACTTGATTCTTTTGTATGAATTCTATTACTTTGCCGAGGTTTTCAAATTTTTCATTTGTTTCAAGAGAATTCATAATTACTTGTTGGAGCATTTTTATAATGACGGCTTGAAAATCCTTGTCAGATAATCCAGTATGTGATTGGCCTCAGTCTTGGCATCAAGTGATTGTTTTTTCTCATTCAAACGGTGGCTTACCTGCACCGTAGAAGTGCAGTAGTGAAGCCTTGGGTTAATTGTCTTTGGGATTACGGGTAAGTTTCCATTGTATCCTGGGAATTTTGGTTATGTTAGGAGACTCTTGATTCTATTTAAGTCTTCAGTTTTAGACAGAAGGGAGTCGCCCTGTTTAGGTTTAGTGTGTAGGTTCTGGCCTACTTTTGTGGGCTGTGGGTCCAATGCCAGCTCAGTTTCCTGAGCCTTTATGTACTATTCTAGTCTGCTTCATTCTTCTGGCACTGCTGAGACTTCTGATTAATCCTTATTGGTGCCACCTGCAGGAGCTCAGCCTACTTCCCTGGACCACTTTCTGTGGAAAGTGTGGAGAGCCAGAGAGGCTGGCCCTGGGTCTCCTTATGCCCCTTGGTGTCAGGAGGGAGACATCAGGCTCTGCCAATGTTGCCATGTGGGTAGCATGACTTGCCCTTTCAGTGCTCCACATGTGGGATAGGCATTGAATTAACCCAAGGCTTCACTACTGTGCTGCATGCAGGTGGACAGTAATGACCCCACGTGCACATACCCAGAGCACTGGCAGGCAGGTTGATCCCGATCCTGAGCTTACCTGCCACTGCTCTGGGTATGGGTATATGGAGCATGGAGGTCAGTCTACCGGGACTCTGAAGCTGCTGCTGTGGGCGGATGGGTCACCAACCCATGCCCTGGTTGTGGAAAGAGGGTTGCAGCTCCCTTCTAGGACTACACTGGGCTTCCCTTCCCTTTCCTAGCCCTTTGGCCAGAGTACAGGCTTTTCTTGGGATTTATGCCTATGCCTATTGACATAACAGACTATACTACACATTTATCCAGTGCCTAGTCCAGGGCCGTGTGGAAGACAAGCAGAAACCCGGGGAACCCACCACATTGTCATTTTTCTACTCCTGTCATCTCTACCCAGTCCGTTTTTCTCTCCAGGTTTTGGAGCCCTTCTATCATTGTCTGTAGAATAATTTCCAAATATTTAGTTGTATTAGAGGCAGGAGCAAGGAAAAGTGAATCTGTACCACCTTGTCCTTGTATATGATTTGTGATATAAGCTACCACAGGTGCTTTTTGAAAACAAATCATATATACATTATGAACCAATACTCCTAGTGAGCAGAATGCTTAATTATATGATTGTGCCTTCAAAATATGATCAAGATATGATCAGTTCATATTTCAAAATATGACAAAAATACTTCAAAATATGATCAGTTAAAATACAATGGCAGAGACTTCTGGTTGGGACAAGATGAACCTATTTCTCCACGCCCTTCCACACTAAGCACAACTGTAAGCCCTAGAAATAATGCAAGAGGCAACCAAAGGAAAACTCTGAGAGGTGGTAATAAAAGAGTGAGTTGGTTTGGGACCACAGGACTGTACAATCAGCACTGCCTCAAGCATCTTGCATCCCCTGCCTGCACCCTGAACCCCAGACCCAATGTTTCGCAAGCCTGACCTAGCAAGAAAAGGCAACCCAGGTAGATACATTCTTTCTTCCTTAAGTTCCTCTAATAATGTTAGGCAAAAGAATTTTGGGGGTGGTTAATAGAGAAAATACTCTCCTTCCTCCCTGGGTCTGAGATACCCCTTTTCCACAAGATACTGAGGGTGTGAGCCAATCTGCCTAGAGACCCAGCTTCAATAAGCCTCTTGGTCCACAAAGCCTTTTTCTGCAGCCTGACACTCTTCCATTCCCCAGAGGCAGCCAGGAGCATCAGTAGGAGGAGCATCTCCCTCAAGGAGAGAGGTCCTAATATCTAGCCTGGGAAACCCTTCTCCCTGCTCGGGTAGAACCAGCAGGGAGCGCTGGGAGCCCCAGAGGCACTAGATAAATCAAGCAGGCTGAAACAACACCACAAAGGCTCTGAAAACAAAAAACAAAGAAAAAGAAAACCTGGAAGCAGGCAGAAAAGTAACACATTACATGTGACCGTGATTTGAATGACAACACATTTGTCATTGAAACCAAGAAAGCCAGAAGGAAGTGGCGTGATGGGTTTCAAGGGCTGAGATAAGAACTGTCAACTACAATGTCTTACATCCAGCATATTTATTTTCAGGAATGAAAGGGAAATAAAAATATTCTCAGGCAAAGGAAAACTAAAAGAATTTGCCACTAGCTGACT